TGTGTTTGTACATGGCCCAGCACAAACATCCACATTCCTTTGGAAGCCTCAGTGACCAGCACAATAGCAACTGTTCAGGAAGAAGAAAACAAAACCTACTTAAAGATTAAAAGCATGAACAAAGCCCAGCCGCGCTCCAGACTGTGCAATATTATGTGCCTGATAGTCACATCAGACACTGGGCTCTTTATTCTGAAATGGAAGCCAGTGGTTGGTGCCATTTGGAAGCGGCAAGGGGAAGGCGGGCACGCCTGATGATGAGGGTAGGGCTCTGCTTCCTGCTGGGGGGTGTGCAGATGCTGGTCAGGCTTCAAGCAGCAATGCAGACCCCTGCTTACGCTGTCTTTAGGCACACCGTTCAGTCAAATAACACAAGTAAACACGAGAGCTGTGTTGTACAATGAGATAGGAACTGAGCTCTACAAATAATATGTTGGCAAACAAAACGCACGCTCCATTCAGCAGGGAGCGGTGCCCTGCAGCCCACCAGCACACAGGCACGGCTGCTGCCGGTAACGTTCTACTCCACGACTGTGACTATCCATCAAGATCTAGCAAAAAGAGCCATTTTGGTCTGGCAACATCTGTTTGTGTTAGTTTGAAAGCCAGGATAAAACATTCCTCATAAATAATTAAGTCATCAGGGCACGCTCACAATGAGAGCGAACTGTCCTGCGCTGCGGCCCCAGAGGACGGGCAGCCGGGAGGGCGCGGAGCCCTGGCCAGGGATGGGAGCCCTGGGGCAGCGGCAGCACAGCCATGGGGGGTCTGGGGGGGGCAGAACAGCTGGAGGTTCCTGGGGTCCTGGGATGGCTGGAGGGCTGCGTGCACACCAGGCTCCCCAGCAGTTGTGAGGGCTTTAAGTGCAGCAGCAAACAGCCCTTTAAAATGAATGGGACATTTCTCATGAATTGTTCCTCATTCAGTTAGTGCATACTTTGGAGGTACACCTAAACGAAACAAAACAAAATCCCAGGCTGGTGACCTATAGGGGAATTAGGCACATTGTGAGCCTTTGTAGAGCAAAGGAACCTGAGCTCATCCCAAGCACGATGGAGATTTCAGCTGTGCTGTAATGGTCCAGGCTGCAGTACAACGAAGTGTTTCTGCAGGTACGTATTAGGTTCCTGGCTACCTGGTTAAAGTCACAAAGGAAAATCTAAACTATTTTTTGGGGAAAGCAGCCTTCAGACCCCTCCCTGCCTGAGCACTGTCCCTGGTTCCTCTTCGTTCCTGTGCAACCCTCCCCACTCTTCTCCTCGCCTGCCCACAGGAGCAGCATTGACCTCCTCGGGCAGCATGCTGCTCTGGCCCTGCCGGTCGCACTCCAATCCCCAGTGCTCAAAATGGGGCTCCAGATTTGTCTTTTCTTGTCTGCAGCAGCAAGAGGGAGGTGCATTAATAAGGCAGAGGAAGCAGGAGCCTTCCCTCTGCTTGAGGAGGAGTGATTGCCGTGCACATTGCTGGGAGGCAGGAGGATATAACCCTAATGTCTGCACCTCAGGACATGCCATTAAAAAGGCATCTGCACTGACACAGATCTGTTGTTTATCAATACCCTGACAAGCATTTCCCCTGCAGCATGGAAGCACCTACATGATCCAGTGGAGAACCGACGGGGAGGGCCCTTGTCAGAGCCCACGCAGCAGCTCCCAGCCCCAGCACCACCAGCAGAGCTGGAACAGTCACTAAAAACTGACCTGAATCAAAAGCGAAAGGGGACAATATACCAAAAACAAACACTAACAGGCTCACCAAAACATGATTTTCTGTCTTTGTCCATTTTCTTTTTCCATCCCAGATGTGGTTTTGTTGTTTTTGTTTTTGTTTATTTGACCCAAGCAATTCTTCCTCTCCTACCTTTCCAGCCTTTTCCAAACTGGAGAAACTGTACGCTTTCAGGTGGGCAGTGCAAGAAGAGTCTCCTTAGGAGGAGCCTTCTTGTATCAGGACTAAAGGAAACACCCGCTGCCTGCAGCCCCTGCTGCCCGTGGTGGGACGGGTTCTGTGGAGCACCGGGACGCTCCTGGATGTGACCAGGCTGGACCTCCCCCAGGCTCGCTATCACACCTCGTCAGAACCTGGTCTCATAATTTCTGTAATACAGAAATCCTCAAAGTGCTGATGAGACTGGCGGCAACTTCAAAGAGTCTGAAACTGTCACTGTATAATTTTCCAATTATCAGCTCTAACCTGCACCTCAGGACAGCATGAAAATGCATAAAAACCTTCCAGCTCACGTTGTGTGGGCTCGGGCTGTTTATGTCCCCTCACCCGTGCTGCAGGCACCTCCTGCCTGAGCCCTCTGCATTTGGGCGCACAGGCAGAGGGCTTGCGTGGCCGTGGTGTTGCATTCTGTTGAATACACAAATGAATCACTACTGCCTTAGAACTTCAAATTACATGTAGCTTTAGTTAATTAAATGTAAAATCATTGGAATAAAATTATCCTTTCATTAGAAATTAACTCACTGCTTAAGACTTCAATAATTACTTTTTTCTTCCCAAACCACATACAAAATGGTCAGTTAAACAGTATGTTAAAAAAAAATAGTTTAATGACCGCATAGCAATCAAGATTACTATTATTTAAGCACAAGCTATTAACATGTGCAATGAGGTATTAGCTAATAAATTATCTTTATAAAATTAAATTGTAATTTTATCACAAATTTTACAGAGGTTATGGTTTTTAATGGCTGCATTTAGTTGTGGCACCGAGCATGCCGCTTTCCTTCATTACTTCATTAACACTTTGCATTTATACTCTTTCTTCTTATTATTTTAATTCGGGAACAGGTTTAATTGATTTATTTCCTGTCTCTGTGGGGAGCCGCCTGCTCTCTGGCGCTGCAGGAGGCCGAGGTGCCCCCTCAGCTCCGTGCCCACGGCCAGCCCCGGGGCCTGGGCCCTGCAGCCTGCCCGCGGCCGCAAACTCCCTTTGCAAGTCCCTTGCAGACAGATATCCTTGAGACTCACCTCCATCTCTTTCTCAGGTCACACGGAGATTTAGAGATCGGGAGCTGTAGTTAAGGTCCAGATCTGCTATCTGAACGTGAATGATGGAGGACACATTCCCGGGACATGTTTATTGTCACCCAGCGGCCCGCAATCCCGCGCTCGCGGAGCCACCGCCATTCCCGATATAATTCATGGGCTGACTCCGCTGGGGAGTGACTGATAAGGCCTTCACGCCGGGCTGGCCGGCCACATGTCTCAAGGAGACTCCAGAGGAGCTTCAGCACAATATAAATGTGGTTCCGTGTCAGCCTCAAACCCCTGGAAAATTCCCCATCTCGAGAGTGCAGCATTTTAAGTAATAAAACCATAGAGAGATTACAACAAAATGTGACAGGAATTTATAGCCTTCTGCATGAACCTTTTACCTTAAGATGGAACAAAGTTGAGGGAAAAAAATTGTGTGGTTCACTTAGGTAACCTTTCCAACAAGCTCCCCTCAGCTCCTAGCCCCACATTCCTCTTTGCTGATTTAATAGCAGGGAAAACCAGCCCTCCTGAAAGCACAGAGCAATGCAGGAGCAGGCAGTGCTCAACACTGCTGTTGTTTTAACCCTCATTGCTTCTTCCCCGCCTGGTGCATGACGGTGTTGGAGCAGTGGTGAGGCATCCCCAGGCTCTTGCCAGACCCAGCGCCGTGCTGGATGCAGTTTGCGAGCCCCTGCTCCTTGCTGTGGCCAGGAGTGCTGGGCTGACAAGCAGCCAGAGCCAGGCAGCCAGCAGGCTGTGCCATCGGCTGGCTGCAGGCAAGGGGATGACTGAGGCAGCTGCTTTTCCCTCTTTTCTTTTCTTTCTTTTCTTTTCTTTTCTTTTCTTTTCTTTTCTTTTCTTTTCTTTTCTTTTCTTTTCTTTTCTTTTCTTTTCTTTTCTTTTCTTTTCTTTTCTTTCTTTTCTTTTCTTTTCTTTTCTTTTCTTTTCTTTTCTTTTCTTTTCTTTTCTTTTCTTTTCTTTTCTTTTCTTTTCTTTTCTTTTCTTTTCTTTTCTTTTCTTTTCTTTTCTTTTCTTTTCTTCTTTTTCTTCCCTTGACAGATACCAAAAATCCTACAGCATCTCTGACTTCTAAAGAGAACATGGACTAAACTGGGGGTTCTGTACATCCATGTACCTTAATGGCACAGACTATGCCTCTAAGTGCATGTGCCTTAGTGGTGGGAGGTGTGTATTTTTATTGCCCGTGAAAGGGTCATGTAGCATAGCTAAGCAGATTCCTGGCTCTCCCTGATACTGGATTTACTGCCACTTTCAGCAATAAAGTGCGGAATTAATCCTGAGTTTACTAATCCAAAGAGTAAACAATATCCAGTGGAGACACTCGGGCAAGATGAATGCAAGGGAGTTAAAAGCAAGCAGAGTGAAATTATTCTGCTCCAAGCTAAGGAGTCATTTGAGAAGCATGAAGCTTCCACATGCCATATTATCAAATTGTTAATAAACGTTTCCAAAGTCTGTAATATTGGAAGCTCTTCTTTCCATTTCAACATGATAGGGAATTCTACACATGTAGCATGCTTGGTTCCAGGCAGTAGTTTCATATCGCATGATCTGTCAGTCAAGATAGTGTCGGCAGAAGGACTGCCCACAGTTGCTGATACTCATTTAAGACGTAGAAGACTAATTCCCTTTTATTTATGTAAAGCAGTTAACCTTTTTAAAAAAAATAGTTGAATTATTATTATTTAAACTGTATTTGTGGACACTAACTGGGAAGGCGCTGCAAAAGCCGTGGCGCCTTTGCTCCTGGACCCTGGACCCGTCACACATGGCTTATCGAACAGCTGCATAGGCTCCTGGCTGCATGTCCTTCCCCATCATTGCTGTATTTACAAGTTTCGTCTCTGCAGTCCCCACAAGAATCGCGTTACTCTGAATGCACAGCTGACCACTGCACAGCTTCAGCAGGGAGCGCCTCACCGGGGAGCCCAGCGCCAGGCACAGGGCCCAGCCGCGCCTCGCCTCACTCCACGGCACAGCAAGGAAAACCCAGGAGCAGGCAGCGCAGCAGGCAATTCACGCAGTTCGCTGTCCCACAGCACAAACACCACCTCTGCCAGCCCCACGCATCCCTCCCTGCTGAAGGACCTCGCAGAAGCGAGGTCACATACAGGGACCGCTGAGGAGGTGGCTGGACGCCAGGGAACCAGGGAGGCCACTCAGAAATGTGTGGAGCAGGGAAGTGGAGGCCTGCAAACAGCAGACAAACAGCCTCCTCTGCCCAGGGTGCTGCCTCCAGGCCAGGCCGAGCACGTGGCCCCGAGCACTTCTGCGCCTGAGGGCCCTGGGTGGTGGGAAAGCTCCAAGTGCCTTCCGAGCAAAATCCTGTCTGTGCTGCAACGCAGCAGCATGAGCTATTTATTGCATGCTCTCTCCCTCGTTTTGTAAAACTTGGGGCCAAATCTCAGAGGACAAATTAAAATTAACTATGCCAAAGGGTGCATTTCTTCCTTGCTTATTTAACACTGAACACCTGAGCTGTGCATGGCATTAGAAAGTGCTTTCATTGCAACAATAGGCCAACCCTACCGCAAGAATAAACACCAAAAGGGAGAAGGGGGCACACAATCCCATAAGGTGTGTGCACCAATGTGTAATAAAAGAAGATAAAATAATCAGTCCTGCTAGTTCTGTCAAGAGACAGACTACACAATAACTGAGCTGTGGAGGTGAAATTGTGTCTCAGCCCTAGGAAATACCTCCGGCTCTTGAGAAGCGTGGTGAAGAGAGAACTGCTGTCTGTGGGTTAAATAAAGCGAGAACTTTGTCTCTGGGGCAGGGAGGAAGACACACATCTTCTGCAGCACTGCATTCCCATACTGTATTTTTGTACATATTCTAAATTATCTTGGATTATTGCTGTTCTTGTTAAATAATTAAAGGCAATGAACGTGTTATTTACTGCCCATTTAGTGCACCAGACCCATATCTTCACTTTGATTTTTGATCCAGAAGCAACTGTGACACGTCCCCAGAGAATACTTCCATAACGTTAATTAGTGCGGCACAGTACAAACACTGTTGTTATTTGCAAGTCAGAAGTAATATTTGATTGTTAGCTTTATTGGTTAATAAATTTTAAAAATATTAATTTCTGGTTTTGTTGACAGAGTTTTATAGCTACCAGATACTGCAAAGTCCAACCAGTTTTAGGGACCATAATAACAGCAGCACCTGCATACATCCTCTGTATAAATCAGCTGGAATAGCACAACAAAGCACACAGCCAAGACTGGCTGAGTACTGTGCAGCACACAGTCAGTAGTTCAGGGGGATGCACCGGCCACTCTTTTCCCCGCTGACCACCTGGAGAGCTGCTGGGTCTGCGATCCCACCGATGGGCAATGGTGTGCCTGGATCCTGGGGTCGGCTTCTGCAGAGGCTGGGAGCACAAACAGGGAATTTTCTGCTGCCGGTCCTAGGTCTCCAGTCCTTTCACAGCCGGGATTATAACCAACTTATTTTTGCTCTTGAAACGTGGCAGAAAATGGAAAGGGTGGGAAAAAAGATCTTGATGAATGAAAACTTCTTCCTATAGAAGAATGTTTTAATTTGTCATACTCATACAAGAATAAGTTGGTTCAGTAAAGAAAAGAGTACAAATTATCAGCCCTTCAAAGCTTTCCCATTTAACCACTTTATTGCAATACAACTGCCCATAACATTTGCTTTTAAAGCCCATGATGCTGAGTGTAGTTATTACATTGCATACATAAAAGATGTTTACAATTTTTTATATATATGTAAAATGTTGATCCCCTGGGCCACATTGATTTGTGCTGGCTTCATGGCTGGGTTGGTGCGGGAATTTCCCAAAGAGATGTGATTAGGCTGCGGGGAACTTTAATTCTTTCTTTTCTTTTTTCTTTTCTTTTCTTTTCTTTCTTTTCTTTTCTTTTCTTTTTTTCTTTTCTTTTCTTTTCTTTTCTTTTCTTTCTTTTCTTTTCTTTTCTTTTCTTTTCTTTTCTCTTCTCTTCTCGTCTCTTCTCTTCTCTTCTCTTCTCTCTCTTCTCTTCTCTTCTCTTCTCTTCTCTTCTCTTCTCTTCTCTTCTCTTCTTTTTCTTTTCTTATCTCCTGCTTACCAGTGTAAAGGCGTGTCTCATATTCCATTTACATCAAAATTTCCAGGCAGTATCAGGATATCTCAGGATATCAGGATAGCTCAGAAGCCCATGCCAAATGCAGTCTCACACTCTTCATTTTCAAAATGTATTCTTGCTGTAGTTGAAGTTGGGTTGATTTTTTAGTTCTTGGTTGCCTCTACAGTTGAAGCAGAATTGCGATAAATGCATTAAGTGAGACCCTACCACAGCCAAGGTGAGGTGGGAGTGGTGGGTCCCCAGCTGGCTGCTGTGCAGCTAAGGCGCAGAGCTGGGCTGTGGCACTTGTCCCCTGTGTTGTGAGGTACCTGTGGGTATTGTTTTAGAAAGGTCTAAGCCTACAGAGAATTTTGTGAGGAGTTTCCATTTTTGTAAAACAGAGACATGAGCAACTGAGAGGACAAATAATTTCCCAGTAATTTGTTTTATAATGAACAGCGGGTTGTAATTAAGATGGTATTCATTTTAAAGAAATTAACTGTTCTCCAACAGAGAAAAAAAAATGTTTTATAGTTTCAATCTTCAAACTTTGACAAGCTAATCTTTACAGTGAAATAATAATGGGGAAAAATGTTACAGATTTCTCATAAAAAGAACTCATGAAAAAACAAACAAACTCCAAGGAAGTGGAAAGTACCCAGACCACGGGGGGGTGGGGATGGGGGGTTTACAGAGGGGATCTGAACAGATCTCAGTGGAAAAAGGAAGGAAACCTGCAAGATGCACGCTGCTCCCAGCCATTTGAGGGAGCGTTCACAGCACTGAGCTCCATCCCGATTATGCAGGTGCAATGGGCAATTATGTCAATTAGCTGTTTGGGGGATTGCAGTATATGTATACATAGAAGAAGACAGACTTACAGCTTATTTACATATTCACTGTGTCTTGTTTTAGAGCTGATTTGGGAGAAAATAAAGGGCTACATATTTAGATATTCACTGCATTTAAGAACAAAATGAATATAGCAGCAACATTTGCACTGTTTTTCCTTTCTGGAAGGAGAGAAGAGAGGTTTTATCTGTATATTATACATTTTTAAAAGACTCTAAGCGTAATCCAGGATATTAGGCACTATTCAGCTTTGCACAGGTATCTGGCAAAATGGTTTAAACATTTATTAAATATAGAATGATAAAATACCTTGAAGATCACATCCAATCAACACAGTTTCTGCTGTGCAAAATCATGTCTCATTAATCTGTTAGAATACTTTGAACCTACCAATATATAAATGGATAAAAGAGAATATCTTGACATATTTTTAGACTTTCAAAAGGCTTTTAATGAGGTCTTCCCACAGGATTTCTTAGGAAACAAGATAAAAATGGGGGTAAGAGATACAGTAGCATTATGAATCAATAAGATGGACTAAGAGGAAGGAAACAAAAGTGGTAGATAGTCTTTTATTAATCAATGTAAAGGGTCACTAGCAGTGTGCTACATGGTTACGCACTCAATCTAATGGCATTAATATATTAATTACTGACCTGGAAAAAGAAACAGTTGTATAAATCAGTTAAATTTGGAAAAGATTAAAGAAATTCTGAGAAATTTGGCGAAGGCAGAAGAATGAATGGCATGATAGCTACGGATGTTTCATATTAATAAATGTGAATGCTCTGAAAAACAGAAGTCAGTGTATAACTAGTGGATTTGGGAAGCTGGCCACTGCTGAGACCTTGAACAACACACATCCAAAGCTGCATAGCAAACAAGTTGTCAGGAGTTGAGAGGAATGAGAACAAGAAGACAGTAGAAAATATTAAAATAACTGTCTATGAATACCTGGCACAGCCTCCCCGCTGGACAGGCTGTGCAGTGCCAGTCGGAGGCTCTCGGAGAGGTCCCACAGAGCTGAGCTGAGCTTCACCTGTTCCTCCTGCCAAACCCCCCAAGCACAAAGGGACACTACAGGGAGTTCAAAGATGGAAATTTCAAAATATAGCATTTTCACATGATGTGGGGTGCTGTTCCTTTCCATAGCTGACCAGGCAAGGCCTGAGCTAAATATTGATGGCCAAGATAAAGCTGTTGCAAGGAGAGCCCCTGTTACTCCATTTATATCTGACAGAGGCAGAAATCAGTTTTACATTATCTAAAGGAGGATTTCTTTGGGTAAGGGGATGCTGTTAGTTTGATGCTTGTATTGTTTCCTACAGCTTTAACTACACAAAACCACACGCTAACTGTATGAACACCAGCACAGACCATTTATCTATAAGTGCTGGGATTTATAAAGTCTAGTGCTGCAGGTTCAGTTTTGGGGGTAGTTTCTCTTACTGCTGTTCTGGAAATCCATTCCAATTAGGTACCAGCACTTGGGCTCCCAAACAGTGAGGTGCAGCACACAGAGGTGACACTGAGCAGTCCCTGCAGGTGCAGTCTTATAAGCATGGCTTACCTCCACAGGCAGTTTATAATAATCATACTTCTTATGAAGCTCTAGTTTCAGTTCCTTCAAATTAAATCTCAGCAGTATGGGAGGGAAAGAAAAAAAAAAAAAAAGAAAAAAAAAGGAAAATCAATGTGCTCTCAGTGCAAACCACAGGCAAACCACAGGCTTGCAGTGTTTGTTTGCAGAGTTGCCCACACTCCTTCCTGCTGTCCTGCTCTGGCTGCCCACAGTGCCCAGTCTGGGCACCAGCTCCTGCCACGGTGCAGGGCCAGGGACTGTGGGGTGCAGGCAGAGGCCATGGCTCAGCCACCTGTCACAGAAACCCACGGAACGAAAAGCAAGGTGGAGGTGAGCATATGCCTGGGATTTGCTCCTCTCGTAATCCACCATGGTGCAGAAGGGGGCACCAGCCCTGCTGTCCATCGCTGTTCCCATGCAGTAGCTGCCAGTGGCATGAACAAACCTGTCATGTCATGGGAGAAGTCAGCCTTTTGCACATCCTGCAGCCGTGGCTCTCCAAAAGCACACGTGTGACCACAGCACCCACAGAGCACAGGGACAGTCTGCCCTGTACCAAACCTGGCTTCCTCGCTGCAAACGCCTGCTGCACTTGGAGAGCTCAGGCAACTTAATTGTCTTGTTAAATATAAATGGGCTGGTGATTTCTTAAAACTGGAAGAGTGTGGAAAGCCATTGTGAGGAGGATAATACCAGTGGTATTTAAAAATTAAAATCTGCTGTAGCCAATCATAGCAGCAGCAGCATTTGTCCTTTGCAGTCTAGGTCTGATAGTCACTCATGAATGCTATAAACACAGTGGCTATGCTGGAAGCTAAGCAATAAAGTGACTGGTGCATTTCTTTTTACTTTATACACCACTGTATTGATTTTGTAGTTTATTTTTTCTTGGAGGAGAAACTAAGGTATTGCGATTTCATTTAGGTTCTGCATTATAATTTCCCCGATGATTTTGTCAAATGTTCCTGGAGGAGAACACCTTCTCACTGTGAGCAGGATTCAAAGACACAGAGCCGACTAATCCATACCTAATTGGATGAAATCGTTATGCACTTTCCCTCCTTTTGGAGGTTTTTTTCAGAGTTCCTGGTTCCTTAGGGATCCTAAAAGCCACTGAAGAGGTTATTATAGTATGTCCTCAGGGATGTTTAATACCCTAGCCCTGTTCAGACATGCAAATAATCTAATTCAAAAGCTTCCTAATTAGCAAGCCAGCTACAGTTCTGGATAAGGGGAGAGAGAGAGAGAGAGAGATCTAAAAGGACTGTGCTTTTTTCCTTTTATAGGCTGCTATTGTGCAAAAAGCAGCATAATGGATAAAAAGTAATTGTTCTGATTTTAATTGCGATCCACTATTTATAGTTTTGTTCTGTCATCTGAATAATGAGGGGATTTTGTTCATACAGCTTGCACTAAACATGCTGCAACTTAGTTTACACCGAGTGCAGCATGTGCCTGGCATTTCCTCCTGGAAGCAAAATCTTGTATAGCAGAGATGGTCCAAGTAAAAGATGTTGAGCTGGTTAATGAATTAGCCATTTAATTAACATAATTAGGGATAATTATTTTCTTTTAATCTATTGCCAATTTTAGGACAATTAAACTAAACAATGGTGAAGCAGATCGCAGAGGGTCCTGTGCAATCATAGCAAATGCTCTTGCCCTAAATAAGACATTATTAAATATTAGAGATGTGAAGAGTGAAGGTGGACAAAGGAGAGGGCGGGTTTGTGGCTCACATCTGTGGCCCTGCTTCAGGGACAGGGCAGGTGGCGACCCCAGCTTCCGTCAAAGAGAACCCTCCTTGCTGCAGAGGGCTTCTCCTCCAGGGACGCATCGCAGAGCAACCGTCCGGTCTGCACCGAGCACAGACCTGTGCCACCACATGTGAACTGCTAGGAGGCAGACCTTAAAGCATCTCCTCCTACTTCTGTTGTCATAAGCTCCACATCTGGGCTGGAGCTATAAGAAGCACTGCACTGCACTGAATTGGGTTGCCAAGTCCAAAGATTAAATTGGTAAAGGCCTTGTCAGGCAGCTGGAATAAAGCACTGCCTCTTGGAGGGTCCCTCCTGCACTGTGTGGGGCCAGGACCCTCGATCCCCCTGCCTCTGGCTGCTGCTGTACTGAATGCAGCTGCTGGCAGCAGGAGTAAGAGAAGCTTCAGGTGCAACATATGCTTGGGGAGTGGTTGGGGGGGAATCTTTTGTGAGGAGATGGAGAGGAGAGGTTGGCCCCATTTCTTACATTGCTCAGTGCCACCACCCAGGTCTCCAGCTGGGCTCCCTGGGTCTTCTTTAGGCCAGGAGCTCTCCTGAGAAAGGCTGGTGAAGGGAAAATATGGGACTTGGATAATTCTTTCTGCCAAACAGATGTATCTGTTATGAGTTAATGAGTATTTCTTTGGTATTGGGTCTTTATTTGCAATAGCAAAAGAAAAAAAAGAAGTGCCTGAAGTTCAGTGACTTTCGTCTTCCTCTAATGCTTTGTTAAGAGCATCCTAAGTGGCCAAAAAAGAGAAAAGTTAAAATGTTTTAAACTTTGAACCTACTCCCAATAGACCTGCAGTGCAAGAACTTCTTAAAACCTTCCTCAGACTGTGGAAGTTAGGGCGTGTTATCCCTGGAAGGTCACCATGTGCCAACCCCAGCAGGAGACACTGTGGCGGGGGGAGCAGAGGAGAGGCACAGCTCCAGCACCTTACAGCCACCTTCATCAGTTATCTACTTGCACGTCTCACAGCCTGTCCCTGGACACTGCCCTCCCCTCACTGCATGACCAGACCCCACATTGCTGTCCCACCCCTCCAACAGCTTTCCACCAGCACCTCCCAATGTGTGGCTCTGGGAGGGCGGGCAGCCCTGGCATCTCCCTTTCTGCCTCCTTCTCTGGCTTTCACCCCATGCACCCCAGGCTCCACCTGCTCGTTTGTAGACTGCAATGCTGAGAGGCAGCATTTTTTGGCCAAATACTGGGTTTTGCCAAGCCTGTCCCTCCAAGTGATGTGCACTCTGCTGCACGTGGCACTGCTAGTCAGTTCATTATCCTATTAGATTCCCACACAGCACCTGCTCAATTGGAGCCTCGTGTGCTGGCAATTAATATGTTATGCCCTGATTAATTAGCAGGGTTAATTATGATTGCTGTTGCTTAAACCTATGTAGAGAGAGATGGCATCATGTTGCTGTGACTCGCAGTGCTGAGGATGCACCCCTGGGAATTGGGACCAGCACGTGTTAGCAGCCGTCTGTCCCTGTGGGACACGTTTGCTTGTTCCTGCAGTGTTGCAAGCCTGGGAGTCGTGTCCCCGCTTGTTCTGATTATTGTTTCCTTAAAGGGTGGCACCTCTCTGCTACTGGATGATGAAAATGAACCTAACCAGTTGGTGCCACAGGCACTGAAGGGAATGAGGTCTCCTGCATTTTTGCCTATGTTTTATCCAGTGGAACATAAAGTGCATTATTTACAAGGTAAGAATGCAATCACCAAACTGGCACCAATCCCAACCCTGCAAATGCTTCCCAACCTTGACAGATGCTCTGGGGCTTTCACAGTGCTGAAAGGCTTCTGGGCAGCTTCACAGGTGCAGGTGCTGGTGTCCACAGTGGCAAGCCACAGCCAGGTGCTGCCGCAGCTTGGGAACAGGGGGATCTGGATGCAAGCAGCAAAGCCAAGGGGGTCAGGCAGGCACCACAGGAGGAACTTCTTAGCTTGACAGCCAGAAAAGCTGGACAAGAACAGCACAGGTAAGATCAACCCCCCATCTACCTCCCTTCCTCCTTCCCCCTTCCCCCCTCCCCACACAGAGCTGAGCATCACCAGTTGCCTGTTAAGCTTTTGATTTGTCTGCGTGTGAAATAGTGAGACTTGGGGCCTTTTTGGCAGTTGTGAGTGAGAGATGACCACCCTTCTCATTGACTTATCCTTTTGAAGCTATCATCACTCATTTCTCTTGGGAAGAGAATGTGAGGCACTGGTAAATAATATAGGATTGTGTATTTCTTTATCTCCCATAGTGTGTTGTCTCCTACATGCTGTTCTGTTCTAACAACATCCATCAAGACAAATGCATACCTGAGCACAGCCTCCCTCAAACCTCAGAAATCTTTTTCTGAGGTCACAAACTACAAAAAAAGACAAAGAAGAAACAAGAAGGAAATTGTGCAAACAATTAAGTATTTTTTTTTCAAGAGACATAGAGGATTCCCCTTGTCTGCACAAGGCAAGCACCAAAATAAGAATGCCACATCTCAAACACAAGGCAATCTATTATTCTCAGAGCAGTAACATGATACATTATCAGCCACCTTATCCTAGCAAAATGTATCATTACCTGCACTTTCTGCACTTTCCAGATCAATCCACTTTAAAAATGTAGTAATATAGAAGGGTATTAGGTACTAGAAAACTCATTATGAAAATGGCGCACTCAAATTCTTTAAAGGTGATATTTCATAAAATATACTATGCCTAGCTCTTGGCTCAATCATTCTTTTTAATAGCTCCATAGCAGCCAGAAAATAAAGTATTCATGAAGATTGAAGAAGATGATCCCATGAACTTCAATTTAATTGGTGCAAATTAAAACGATCCATCTTTTCACGCTGCCCGTCTATCTCCAATCATCAGTGCACCGCACGTCCAGCACCCTGATTACAATTATCTTTTAATAGGAAAACTTGTCACTTTTTGTGTGATTTACATAAGCTTGCACAAACTTACTGGTATCATTTAGGGTTGGAATGTATGATTTTTTTTTCATTTGAGTCCCTTGATATAGTTGGGGGGGGCACAGAGGTGAGGTGAGCTCTTGGCAGGGGGCTCATTTACTGCACTTAAAGCCTGGACTTGTACAAGAAGAATGCCAGAGTGCAGCCTTCAATACATCTTCATTCACCAGACCTCCCCCCAAAGAAGTGCTAATGCAGCCAGATTTCATGGTGTCTTTGCAATGACCATTGCAATTACAATACAAAAACCTAGATGACATTTTGACTTTTAATTAGGAGGGAAATGATGCTGGTCCCTGCTGATGGCTCTCTCTCTCCCTCCAACTGCTCCTAGCACTCCCATCCTGAGAAGGTACCCTGCAGGGTTTAATAAGCCATCAAATCATAGTGGTGTGGGACGTATTCTCAAGAGTTCAAATAGAATTACCATAAATGTATGTTTACTGTTCCTGGTCTAGTGTCTGGGATCTGGCTGAGGACCCTCCAGCCAGGAGCAGCAAAAAGGACCCACCGTATTAATTATCATTACTATTATTATTACTATTTTCTTTGTGATGGCCACACTCCAACAGCGAGGACACTGCAGAATGATTCATAGCCTGAAGCCGTTTATGTATATGTTTCAATTTTCTTTCCTTATCTTTGAAAGGCAACCATCCTTATCACAGATGGCTTCAATGCCTTAAGATGTCGTGAGATTTAGCTCTGTCTTCTGAGGGCAGATTTTTCTATGCATTGAAATAATTAGTATTGTTTAGCTGTTGTCCGTGTATTCTGTGATAATATTAGCCCTAAAAAAGAGGTAGGCAACCCGAAGAACAACAAATGCAACTGGTTCATTCTCCATGATCTTACTGAACCTTTTGCACTTCTACTGAAGCCCATGAAGAACAGTTTTTAAAAAGCATGACTTCCCAGCTCTGCCTTTTCCATAGCAATGGAGAGTGGCTAAAATTCCTTGCTGCACAGTGCAGCACAGACCCCGCAGGGGTTATCAGCGTGCAAGTATTAAACTTTTTAGCACATCCACTGCAAAGCAATTTTGAGGAGTCCTTTGCTGGAACAGTTCAAATGAAACTCATGGCTGATCTCATTAAGCACTTGTCTCATTTTGGTGCATGAATATTAAACAGGAACGTGCACGAGCAGGACACCACAGAAAGGGACATTTTTCCTCTCAGCTCAGCGCAGCTGCCAGAGCAGGTGCCCGGGGGGCTCTGCAGGGGTGTGGGAGCCGATGCCCTTCCTCCCAGGCACCACGCACCGAGTGGCAGAGGCGGGTGGCAGCACAAGGGCTATGGAGGGTTTGCCACAGGAGACGGCCCCTCTGCCTTCCATTCACACCTGCACTTGTGCAAAAAGAACGGTGGGCGAGGGCAGAGGAGCCCTGAGAGGGCGCCCAGAGGGCCACATGGGAGCACAGCTCTGCTCCCCTCGTGCTGGGCCCCCTCAGGGCCTGCCCGCCCGTGCCACCCCACAGCCGGGTGCCCCTGCATGCGCTGTGCTCCCCAGGCAGTGCCACGGCCTCTCCAGATCAGTCTTTTGTCACAGAAAACAACACTGGTCGTTATGACCCAAATAAACTCCAATCCACTTGATCTATCAGGGAAACGTGTGGTGCTGACCTGCCATAAATCCCCAGGGCGGCAGGAGAGGCGGCTGGCACCAGCCCCCCCTCGCCCCTGGCCGGCCGCCTACCTGCCGCTCTCCCCGGGTAAGCAGGTAATCATGAGCTGCCACAGAAAGGTGACCCATTAACGTGATGGATTTGGTGTGAAAAACAAATGGACTGAGACCTGCGGATTGCTGTCCTTACTGCACCTTGGCCTTTTGTTCTGTCATATCAATATCCGCACGGGGCCTCATTACACGCCGCCCCGGTGCCGCGAGGGGAGCGCGGGGTCAGCCCGCCGCGGGCCTCACTCCTCTGCCATCCACTGCGTCAAAAAGAGCCGGCCAGGGAGGTGACCCCTTCTTTCCTGGTTTCCCCTCATTGTGGGGCTCACTGAGGGCCAGAGGCAGACGGGTGCAGGACTACCCATCCAAGGAGCACCTTCCTGGCCATGACACCAAGTTCTGCACTGTTCGCTCGACATTCAAGGTAAGTTAAAAAGAGGGGAATGTTTTACACCATATGCCAATCCAGTAACGCAGACAATTGAGTAACACGTTAGCTATGCCGATGAGCAGATTTGCTTTCGCTCTCCTGGTGAGGTTTAGCCCTCAGCTTTCTCCCTGTCGGCTCAACCCCACAGCCCGCCCAACAAGCTGTGGAGGCTGCGCCACGCTGCCAGTGCGCCTATGGCTGCTTGGAGCCACTGCTGCAGCCGGGCAAGCCCAAAGCACAAGGTGCGAGGACGTCTGCTGCTGCAGCAGGGAGAAGGAGGAGGAGCGGCAGGGAGAGCAGAGCTGACCTTGAGGCTGCCTGAGACTGACCCTGAAGCAGCGAAATTCTCCATTCTGTTCACAGGCACTGTCATCTCTCACCTTGCAGAGAGCGCTCTCCTTGCCCATTTATCATCACAAATGTTTCTATTTAGGCTTATTTGTTTGTACAGTTAAGCCCTGTTACATTTACACCAAGAAGAAGGACAAATTGTGATTTTATCCAATGTTAGATCATATCACTCCTTGCTACAACATTCACAGCATTAATAAGGATAAAGGGAGACTTTGGAGAAATCCAATAATACAGCACATGTGATAACGGCCCGGCGAAAGGGCTCTGGGGAAGGAGTGCAATTTCACAGTGGAGACTGCTGCATACTCCCTTTGTGCACACCTTGCTTTGTCTCACCAGAAACAAATTTCTGAACTGGGTAAACGTGGCTAAACCAATGCCAACAATGAGATCCTTCTCATTAACACCTATTAATCTGCCCACCAGAACTCTTAATTTCCTGAAAAATGCCTAACCTTTTACATTATGTGCCAGATACCTACAACATTCCCAGCTCTTCCCACTGGCACTCACAATGTACAGAAATGTGCATTCTTAATAAAGATAAAAGCGGTGGCAGAAACACACCAAAACAACAGCAAGTCTGGGAAACTGGAACACAGTAGATGGAGAGAGGGACCCCGAGTGCAGGTGGATGTACAAGGACACACACATTGCCGCTGCACACATGCAGGGCTCGTGGCAGCAACTCTCAAGCAAGGCTCCACTGCGAGGCTGCTGCCCAGAGCCTGGGGCAGCCCCAGGAGCCCCCGGCACAGACCGCTACCACTCTGCCTTGCCTGCTGTCTGCTGCTCGATCCTGATGTGAAAAGGACTGGGAAGGAATTCTGTAGGCATGTTAGCTTATTCAGACAAGGAACATCTTTGCCAGCACCTTGGTGCTCCTAGCTGTGCATTTCGCGAACTGGCCCAGAAATGCTCGCTGCCCTAGCATGCCTGTGCGATGGGAGCAGCATGTATTAGCACCACTGCCAACATGAGCATCAGCCCATACCCACAAGTGCTCCATCTGATGAATCCTTGGGTATTGGAATGTTTTTCCAGTGGAGATCCCAAGGGAATGCAAATCTGTAAGGAAAACTAAACCTTCCCTAGCCTGTGCCACAAGTACTTGCTGGGGCGGGTGTGTGGCTGTGGGGTGCAGCAGGGCCATGCTGCAGGCTTCCTCGCAGCTCCCCTCAGCACAGCCCCGGCCGCAGTGTGGTGGGGGCAGCCCCGGGCCCCCCTGCAGGCGGCGGTGCCTGGGCTGCGGCACGCTGCGCTGCCGTGCCTGCTTTGGCCTGGGAGTTCCTGCCTCAAACCAATCATCATTTATGTTATCCTTACAGGCGAGGGCACAGACCTTCAATCATTCTTCCTAGTTAGACACAATCATCAGCCAGATTTGTCTTGGTTAGCTGAAATACATACACAGTAACTACACAGCCCTGAGGATTGCCAGTGGATGTTTTACTAATCCTGTACGCCGAGCCCT